ATTTCTTGTGAAGTCCGTGGTTGGATCCCTTCCCCATGCCGTGAGGCAGCCCAAGCTGCTGTGTGAGATGGTCCCAGAGAGAACAATGATAGCTCCATTGTACCTGGCTGACAGCCAGCATCAGCCCCCACACCTGTGGGTAACCAAGCCTTTGATGGGTCTAGTTCTAGCTCCTGCAATGCCAGCCTTTGAGGTGTCTTCCTAGCTGAGACAGCAGGCAGCGCGCAGCAGAGATAAGCTGCCATCGAGCATCCTCTCTGAAATCCTGACTCAGAAGATGGGTGCATGACCAAACGGTGGTTTCTCAGCAACACTAAGCTTTGGGTAGTTTTCATGTAACAATGGTGATCAGAGCAAGTGGTAAGGAGAAAGGAGGAGTGACAGAGATAATGAAAGGAAAGCTGGGCTTCAACCCTTCTTCAGAACAAGAATACACTGTAGGTTATTGTCTTGTTAGTTATGTTATTAGTTATTAGTTATGTCTTATTAGTCTTGAGAGTGGTCGTAGGCTTTCGTGGAGAAAAAGGAAGAGTCCTCAGCATCAGGACGATGAGGAAGATGTCCACAGTAGCTAAAGGACAGAAGCAGAATAGATTTCATCGTCATCATCCATCAGAAAATCCTCATAAACAGGAACAATGTGGTCACTCAGACGGGGTAGGATTTAGCAGTTTTCTGTTCCAGTAAAATTGTTTAAGGGGGCCAAAAAAAGTCCATTTTAATGTTTTAGTTCATTTTACTTAATATAATTTATAACAGAAGGCTTTCCTCCCACTTTTATTCCTTTTATTTTTTTTTTCATAGTGTGAATCACAAGAGACAGACATAAACTTCATTTATAGAACATTTTATAAATGGACATCTTGGCCGAATTTTGTCTACTCTCTCCATAGAAGGAGCATCTCTGATGGTGTAGTGTGTTCTGTGTTGTGCTACTATCCTCAAGATGAGTGGCTTCTCGAAGGAAGAAAGGTGGCGTGTTTCCTGCCATGAAGTTACAGCTCCAGAAACCCAGAAGAGTCAGAATCAGAAACAACTTGACAGCAGAGGGTGGCAGGCTTTACCTGAGGACATTGACTCGTAACAAGCAGAAGTCTCCCACCACCAGGGTATCTATATGTAATGCAACCTAAGTTCTTGAACTATTGTACAGATGGGAATGAATTAGGGTATTGAGAATGAGCTGATCTGCTTTGAGAAATTGTGCATTATTGTAACCTTGTGTCCCTTTGGCTTCACAAATAAAGGATGAACTGTGATTTCTGACATCAAGGGCTGGTCCTCCATTGTGGCGATGTGGTGACAACCCCCCACCAGTGTGTCTTGAACTTGTCTGATTTTTACACTTAGGATTCATTGATTCTTTCCACCAGCTCCTCCTCCCACCTTTGAAATTCTCTCTGTTGGGCTCTTTTCCTTTTTCAGTTCAGGAAGCATGTTGCTGATTTCCATCTTTGCTTGTGCTCTTGCCCAGAATGCCATTTCAGATGGAGCTTTATCAGTTGATTTCTACAGCTGTTTCTGCTATTCTCCAATATGTAAATTACAAGCTAGAAGCGTCACCTATTAACAACAACAAAAAAAATGCCTGAGAAATTACAGCTCTCCTATCTCCTCCGATCTCAGCGCCTGCATTGTCTGATGGTGGTGGCGCTTCCCTTTCAGAGGGACCAGTGGTGAATGGTAGGACTTGGAAGGGATTTTACACCTCATTTGGACAGTTAGAGCCGGAGCTGAAAACGGATCTCATGTCTAGGCCTCCCTCCCACTTTCTGTGTTACATCATTACGCATCCTCTCAGGGACCGGGAGCTCTGGAGATGCTGTTTAATCACTTCATGCCCACTACTACGGGGATGATATTTGCAGGATATGGGCCATGATAACCCCCTGTGGTTAGGATAAAAGCTCTTCCCAGCTGTAACACATACGGCACAAAATGGAATAGTCACTCAATTTTCCTCAGGGCTGGTGGTGGAAGAGAAGACAGTTACAGAGGATAATTCACCCACTCTTCCAGAATTGATAAACTGAAAGGCTTAGTTTGAGGCCAGACTCACGATTTTTCTTTTGCTTTGCTTTGTTGATTTATTTTTTCATCACATTGGACTAAGGGTTTTAAGTAAATCAACTTTCCTTTTGCTTATTATTTCCACTTAATGATCTTAAAGGGAGCTCTGGTGGCCTAGTGGTTAAGAAGCTGCACTGCAATCCCAAAGGTATGTGGTTCGAATCCATCAGCTGCTGCCCCCTGGGAGGATGGGCAATCTCTGTCCATACAACTGATCTTAAAGAAACTTCGGATTCTTGTAGTGCTGGGCTACAGGCTGGATACAGGCAGTTGAAGTAGAGGATGTGGCTCTGGGAGAGACTCCTGGGCTTTGCCCAACAGGCAGGAGGCAGGGGCAGAGGCAGAGCCCACAGTGCAGGTGGGGTGTGATGCATAACAGTGGGTGGGTCTGGGACAGTGTGATCTTGCCCTACACCCTTCCTCTCATGCCTCTTCTACCTCCTCTGCCCTCAGAACCGCTGCCTCTGCAGGAAACTGCTTCTCCATCCTCCGGCAACAGTGGGAGCCTCTCAATACTCATTAAGCACATGCTGTATGCAGTAGGCACTCTGGTGGCATAGGGCGTTTTAGACTAGAGTGTGACTCCACCAGCTGCTTTATGGGAGAAGGTAAACCGTCAGCACCAGGAAAGATTTAGTCTCAGAAACCTGATGTGGAGGCCACTGTGAGTCATATCACCTCATTGGCAGTGGGTTTGTGAAGGAAGGACCTGGCCGGGGGGGGGGCATAGTGCATTACGTGCTGCGCTGCCAATGGGAAGGTGAGCAGTCTGGATCCACCAGGCCTCTTGCCTTTATACATTTTACAGCTGTAGAAAGGCCCGGGCAGTTCTAACCTGTCCTACAGGGTCTCTATGAACAGGATGTGATTTGATTGTGGTGGGCTTGGTTTTAGTGGGGAAGGAAATTATGAAAAAAATCAAATCTAGTTGAAACTGAAGAGGACCTCAAGCACTTGCTGAAGAAGGTTAAGGACTGCAGCCTTCAATACAGATTAAAGCTCAACATCAAGAAAACAAAGATTCTCACCACTGGGCCAATTGGCAGCGTCAGTATGGATGATGAAGAGATTGAGATAGTTAGGACCTCTCCAGAGTACTAAAGAGAAACAAGCCTGATCTGGGCTATAATCTTCGCAATTGCATGCTATGCATCAGAGAGCTGGACAGTGAGCAGGGATAATGGCTGTGGCGCTGGAGAAGAGTGTTGAATATACCATGGGCTGCTAGGAGAACAAACAGGTTTGTCTTGGACAGGGTAAAGCCAGGCTGCTCCCTGCAGGTAAGGATTCTGAAGCTTTGTCTGACATACTTTGGGCCTGTTGCACTGAGGGAACAGTCCATGGAGAGGGCATCATGTTTGGGAGAGTGGAGGGACGAGAGGAAGACCCTCAATGAAATGGATCGATTAAGTGATTTGGGGTAGTGGGAACAGGTGTGTCGAAGACAATGCGGTTGGCATAAGATAGAGAAGACTTTAGGGCTCCTGTACATGGGGTTGCCATGAGTCACAAGTCCCAACAGCACATAACAACAACAACAGCCAACAAAGTTCTGTCCTTGCGTGAGCTCATCAGAAGAGAGGAGGGGTCAAAAAGCACAGAAGCCTTGCCCCTTTGGAGGCTTTATGATGTGCTCTCTCAGAAAATGAAAAAGCCAGGCCGAATTCACCACTGAATAGTACATGCTACCAAGCCATTCTCTGTCTCCAGATGGGACCATTCATTAAATGCTAAACAGTCAAATTATAAAGGTCACTTGGTCAGTGGCTGAAAGAGAAGGCCTAGCGTCCTACTTCTTTGCCATTGGCCTGGCTTCATGAATCAGCCCCAAGCACCAGAGGCTCGATCAGGATCACAAAGACAGCAATTCAACAAATTTGCCATAGACTCTCCCTTCCATTTAATTTTTATTAAAAGAAGTGCTAAGGTACTGAGATGCAGTACATCATATTTATTACCAAAATTATTAACAAATATACAAAACTTATACATGTAATTTTCTTACATCCATTTATTCTCTATAATACTGATTTGTGTTCAAGTAGGTTATCTACAGTATGTAAACATCCCTTGGGTTTGATCTCACACAGATTAGGAAAGCCCTCTAACCCATGCTTTTATCAGATACTTCCTTTTATTTGGCTTTCATCTTGTAGCATCTAATCTTCACATTTGGCACGTGGAAGAGACATCTACAGTGCAAAGGAGGCAGCTTTTACTGGTTTCGTTCGGAACCACTGGTCAGGGGCACAGTTTAAGAGCTGAGAGAGGAACATGGTCACTCTAACCTGGAGTGGCACGAGTTGTTACGCCAACAACTCTTGGTCCAGCCATTAAACTTGAGCACAAAGTCAATGTCGCCTCCCTTTCCCCTCCCTCCCCCCTCCCCCCATGCAAGGCTGAATCAGTCTTAACCTCAGCTCAAAAGGGTTAAAGGAAATTCCACCCAACCTGCAACAAATACGTTACTTTCACCAAGGAAATACCTGTCAGTGTTGTACTGTGGGGGTGGGTTACTGCCTGTATGAGCCTGTAAAACTTTAAATAAAAAACACAAAGCCCATCAATATGTTGCCTAAAAAGAACAATTAAAAACCCCCAAACTTTAAATAGTGACTCAAATAAGATAGAAAAGTAGGTGAGATGACAGGAGATCTTCTGTTTCCAATCACCTCCTCTGTGTTTCGGATATGGGTCTGTTTGTGGCGGCAAAGGTCTATGGGACTGACAAACACCCCAATGCCAACTGCCGCGTGGTGCCATTGCAGCTTGGACTCCAAGCCCAAGGTCATGATCATTTGAAAGGACAATAATGAAAGATGGAAAAGAAAGGCATTGGCGATTTCGCCCTCCTCTCTCTGCCTTCTGATGAATAACCTCGCCTGAGCACGTAAAGCTGATCCGAGGAGGCCCCGCTCACCCTGTCCCTCCTCTCCCTCCTGCACAGTATTGCTCACGTGGCTGGCTGCGCGAAGCCGCGGAGAACGCGCCCGGCGTGGCGCCTCCCGGCTCCCGTCACCACAGCGGCGCTGGCCCCTCCGGTGCCCCGTAGAGCTCCGCCAGCTTCCGGAAGCGCGGCCCCCAGTCCGACAGGAAGTCGAAGCTCTGCTCGGAGTCCGACGTGGCTGAGTGCAGCGAGCTCAGCGAGCCGGCCAGTGAGCCGTCGCCCTCGAACACGTAGGTCTGCAGGGAGTCGAAGGGCGGCGCCCACAGGTCCATGTCGGCCTCGTAGAGCTTGGCCAGCACGTAGCTGTGCACGGAGCTGCTCACGGCGCACGTCTGGGGTACGTGGCGGGACAGGCTCTCGATCTCGGGCAGCATGTCCTGCCGCGTCTTGGCGGTGCCTGCCTGCGCCTCGCGCGGGTTCCACATGGCCGCGATGTCGAAGGCCTCCGTGTCCTCCTCGCCACCGCCCTCGTCGTCGTAGCGCACGATGTTCTCGTGGATGTTCTCGTCGTCGTCGATGATGTAGGGCTGCTTCCGGTGCCGCCGCATGGACAGGATGAGCAGCACGAGCACTGCGGGGAGAGGACAGGGAACGTGATCGCACGCAGTACCCGTGTGGAGCACTGGAAGTCCAGAGGAGGGAGAGGACGGTGAATGCAGGCAGTACCCGTGGAGAGCTACAAGCCCAGAGGGGCAGAGGACAGTGGATGCCAGCAGTACCCCATCCGCGTGCTGCCAACCCAGAGGAGGGAGAGGACAGTGAACATGGGCAGGGCAATACCCTGTGGAGTGCTGGAAGCTCAGACGGGTAGAGGACAGTGGATGTGCACATGCAGTGCAATACCCCGTGGAGCGCTGCAAGCCCAAAACGGGGAGAGGACGGTGAACGGGGAGAGGACAGTGAACACGGTGAATGTGGGCAGTGCAGTACCCCGTGGAGAGCTGCAAGCCCAGAGGGTGGAGAGGACGGTGAATGCAGGCAGTGCGTATTCCATGGAGCACTGCAAGCCCAGAGTGGGAAGAGGACAGTGAACACATGCAGTGTAATGCCCGTAGAGCACTGCGAGAAGACAGTGGACGTGCACAGTGCAATGCCCATGGAACACTGCAAGTCCAGGGACAGGCTGTTCAATTGCACCAGCTACTCCCGGAGAAGAAGGACGGGCAGTCCTGTCCCGTGTGATAAACGGCCTGGAAAAAGCCGCTGGCAAGCCGTGGTCATTTCAGACTTGATGGCACAACCACCCACAACAGCCACAGAGAAATTCCTTACTGCACCATGAGCTCAGGGGCTCTGCACCTTTAAACCTGGAGAAAACCTATTTTAAGTCTCCCTTATTCTCACTACCTGCCACATCACACTGAGAAAAAGGATGATAAATAATGAAAACACAGGAAAAAGGCTTGGTGTGTGGGTGAATGAAGCCCCCTGTTCTCTGCAAGCAATTCAGTTGGAAGGTGCATTGAAATCTCTTTGCATTAACTAAGGAGTACCCAGGTGGTGCAATAGATTAAGCACTGGCTGCTCTTTGCAAGATCAAACTCTCCAGTCACTCGTGCAAAGACGAGGCCATTCTCTTCTTTCCAGATTACAACTGTGGAAGCTCTATGGGGCAGGTCTGCTTTGTCCCAAAGAGCTCCTGCCATGCAGAGTTGACACTACACCAGTGTGTTTGATGGGGTTTTGGTTGCACTAGCTGGCATTATGGAAAGTGTGTGTGTCACCCTGCTGTCAATATCAGATGTCATTTAACACTCCAGCCTGAGATCTTAGAGGAAATGCAACCAGGACGCCCAGTAGAGGGAAGAACAGTGAAGCTTTGTCTCACATACTTTCGGATGTGTTGTCAAGAGGAGCCAGTCCTAGAAAAAAGGTATATTGGGTAGTACAGAGGGTCAGAGAGAGAAGACGACCTGCAACCAGATGAATTGACACAGGCTCAAGCACATCAAAGATGATGATGATAGTGCCAAAATGGCAAGGTCAGAACCGTTGTTCATAGGATCACTGAGTCCACTAGACAGCAACTAACAACAACATAGCTTGCAGTGGAGTTGGATAAACTACAGATAAGATCCTCTTTCCTGACTATAACAATGAGTCTATATTTTTCTTATTATAATATGGAAATTTTATGTAGGCACAATCTGCTTTCTTATATTAGCGTCATAATAAGATTCTGCTCTATAAATATAACTCTTATGCATATGCATATAGACATGTATGCTAAACAGGAGCCAAAGTCACATTCTTTTTATACTGGCTCCAAGAAATAGAGAATGCATAAGTGAAGACCCTGGACAGTGCTTCCATTGAAGAGATTGCTACTTTGCATCCAAAGGTGTTTGTGCAAGGGAGGGAGTGAGCAGTGACATTTCCTATAATTCATCATGTTATCAAAGAAACACCACACTCTTAGATGTGCCATTGCAGGTTTGGATACAATTTTATCCCAAAAAATGCCATCTTTTCCACCCCCAGCGTGTGTTCACTGGGGTTTAAGAGAGGGAGCGATAATCCCATTGAGCTGTGTATCTCTGTGACTGAAAATGTTTTTCCGGGAGCTTGTTGAGGTTTGAGCTGTAGAACTTATATTGATTTTTCCCCCCCTAGTGTGCTTTGTTACAGCTGGTGAACAGTGACACCTTGACAACACTGCAAAATAAGACCCCCCCCCCCCCCGGTTTATCCAAGGGGCGAAAAATGAGGACAGTCATATGTGTAGTAACAGATTAAAGACCGAATCATGGATCTCAATGTTATTTTTTAAAACAAGAAATTACAGAATGAGCTCTATGTAAATGTCAATTAATGCTGTTAATAATTAATGGTTCCCCTGATAGTTTGAGAGATATGTGTATACAGGAAACAATTATGTACTGTGTTAAAAATAGGCATCGTCTACAAGGATCATCAGATTTTAGACACAGAGACCAATAGGGCTTTGAGGAATGGGAGCTTGAATGGCAAGTTGAAGCTGGAGGGTAACTCAATGGAAGTAGGTTGGAGAAGTGAGATTCTGTGCTGGTGAGATTCGGCAAGTAGTTGTAAAAGCCATTTGTATTTTAGTGCCTTACTGGTGGTCTCGTGGTAAGAAGTTGTACTGCTAACCTGAAGGTACTCAGTTTGAAATCTACCACCTGCTGCTCCAGAGAAATATAAGTCTTCTGTGTGATCTCAAGCTTCTAAAAACCAACCAGAGGATCAGCTGTGGGTTGGTTCCACTTTGACAGCTTATAGCAGCAGCAACAGCAGCAGCATGCAAGGCACTGAGGAGACAATTGAATATGGCCTGATGTTGTCTCTTTGGAGTTTACAGTCTAAGCAGATTGTAGACACACTACTGATACAGGCCAGGGGTGAAAAGGGCTGTCATGTACAAAGCAAAAGCCCCAAGTCGACTGCCTTTAAGGCCATTCTGCCTCCGAGTGCACCTAGGGGACAAAGGGTCCCTGCACGATAGGGTCTCCAGTGCTGGAAATCTCTACAGACACAACCATATCTTCCTCCTGCACAGTGGCTGCAGAGTGTTTAACCACTAAGCTTTCTAGCTAGCAGTAGCTCTTAACTACTGCACCACCAAAGCTTCTATAGTTAAAAGTGTTGTTAAAAGAGCCCAGAGACAGGGTCTTTTAGGCTGCCTAGTGGGCTGGAAACGGCTTCAGAGAGATGACTCTGGGAGTGAATAAGGGTTGTAGTTTGGAAAATTACAGAATATCACTAATATCACATGCAGGTAAAATCTTGCTGCAGATTATTCCAAAATGGCTAGAACAGTGCCTTGACAGAAAACTGCAAAAAATTCAAGCAGGATTCAGAAGGGGCCATAGCATGAGGGAGGTATTGCTCTTGTTAGCTACATCTTGGCTGAAAGCAGAGAACACTAAAAGGGTGCCTATATCAGTTCTATTGATTATGCAAAAGCTGTGGATCATAATATATTACAGGTAATAGAAGAATGGGAATCCTAGAACAGAGCAAGAAGAAAGTTGCATGGTTTAAAATAAGAAATGTGAACATCAGAGATCTATCTCTTCTCCGTATCTGTTCAGTCAGTACACAGAGTAGATCATTTGAGAAGGTGGACTTAATAAAGAGGAATGTGGCATCTGGATCCAAGGAAGACTCATCAACAACCTGTGTTATGCCGATGGTGCGACCTTGCTAGGGAGCTCTGATGGCCTAGTGGTAAGAAATTGTGCTGCAGTCCCAAAGGCATGCTGTTCAAACCCACCAGATGTTCTGCCAGAGACGGATGCACAGTCTCCTCCCACGCAATTCACTGTTTCTGAAAACCCACTGGAGGGTCAGCTGTGGGTCGGTTCTGACTCGACAGTACACAACAACGACATTCCTTCCGGAAAGCAAGGAGGACTTGAAATGTTTGTTGGAGAAGATCAAATAGAGCCCTTGGTATGAACTACATCTCAGCATTTTTCAAGCAAATCCTCACTACTGGGTCAATAGCATCATGATAGATGGAATGAGGATTAAAGTTGTTAACAGTTTCATCTTACTTGTATCTACAATCAACACCCTTGGTACCAGCAGTCAAGAAATCAAAAGATGTGTTGCATTGGGGAAATAAAATGTCAGAGACTTCTCCACGGTGTTGTGAAGCAGCAATGTCAGTTTAAAAACTAAGGTGCACCTGATTGCAAGCCAGGGTCTTTTCAGTTACTTTTTATTCATCTGACCTTTGGATACTGAATATGGAAGAAGAATTGAGGCTTTTGAGTTAGGGTGTTGGAGAAGAATACTGAATATCCCATGGACTGCAAAAAAAGAAATATGCCTTGGAGACAATTCAGTCAGGGTTCTTACAGACAAGGATGGTGAAACTTTGTCTCACATACTTTGGGCATGTTGGGGGCCAATCTTTAGGAAAGGACATCATGCTTAGAAAGATGGCGAGTCCATGACAGAAAGCAAGACCTTCCACAAGGTGGATCAACGGAGTGTGGCAAAGGGCTTGAGTATCTCAAGGATGGAGAGGAGAGCACAGGGCAAGGGTCCAGATCTGTGTTCATAGGCTTGTTATGAGTCATAGTGGAATGCTAGGTAGCAAAATTTGAAGAGCAGTTAAAAATCAGAGATTTTTAACAGTGATGGACTTTACAGAATTGGTCTGTCTCCTTCCCCTCCGCCCTTTGTACCATTGAATCAGATCTGACTGGCATAGGAAGAGATAGCCCTGCCTTCTCCAGCAGAGCATCTGGTGGATTTGAACTGTGCATCTTTGGGATTGCAGTGCAGCTTTTTAATGACTAGGCCATCAGAGCTCCTTAGAACTGGTCTCTCTCTGGAAAAATTACTCTGTGCTTTGGTTTTTAGGTCATTCTATTTAAATAAAATATAACCCTGAAACTCAAGTTTGGGGAAAACATGGTCACCTGAAAGATTTCATTGGCAGAAGACAGTTCACTGAGGATTTAATTTTTTATACAACAGCATCTAACAACAACAACAACATACACTGGACTATATGAAGAAGAATCCACCATCAAAATTGGAGAACACTTATCAATAGTCTATTATACATATGACACAACCTTGTTTGAAGAAGAAACATTTGCTTTAGAAGATCAAAAATGATGGTCTTCAATATTGATTTCCATCGGTACATTAAGAAAGCAAAAAATTCTTACCGCTGGACAAATAGACAACATCATATCAGAAAAAACTGAAGTTGTCATCAATTTCATTTTACTTGGATCCACAATCAACATCCATGGTTGTGTTGTTGTTATATGCCGTCGAGTCACTTACGACTCATAGCGACCCTGTGTACAACAGCCCTAAACTCTGCTCTGTCCTGTGCCAATCGCACTGTCTCTGACACTCCCATCCCAATTACCCCATTCACTGAATCAATCCACCTCATAGAGGGCCTTCCTCTCCTGCGCTGTCCCTCCACCCTCCCAAGCATGATGTGCATCAGAGTCAGTCAAATAAAAAAAAACATGTTGCATTGGGGAAGTTGGCTTTCAAGGACCTCTCCAAAATGCTAATGAGCAAAGATGCCAGTTTAAAGATTAAAGTGGGCCTGATTCCAGTCATGGCATTTTCAGTTGCTTCCTATGCTTCTGCCAGTTAGATAATGAATAAGGAAGGATGCCAGAAGAAGAATCGATGCTTTTGAGTTGTGGTGTTGGAGAAGAGTACTGAATATCCCTTGGACTGCTGAAAGCACAGACATGTCTGTCAAGGAGGAAGTGCCTTCAGGATGTTCCTTAGATGCAGGGATGGTAACACTTGAGCCCACATATACTGGGCATGTCAGGTGGAACCAATCCTTGGGAAAAAGGCATTGTGCTGGGAAGGTAGAAGGTCAGAGAAAGAGGAAGACCTTGAATAAGATGGACTGGCAAAGCAATTAACAATGGGCTTGAGGCTGTCAGAGATGAGGAAGACGCAGGAGAGGGCATGCTTCAGATCTGTTCAGAGGGTCACTGAGGTGCATAGGAGTTGCTGCTATCAATTTAGATGGCATCACCACCACCATTAAAAAAAAAAGCACAGTGTGAGGGCCTATGAGATTTTTTGAGAATAGACATACATGTTTTATACATGGAAAAAAGGCTACAAAGTCAGCATGAGGCTTAATTGACCACAAAATGTCATTTTGTTAATGGCAACACTAATTCAAAGCTAATATAGCTTAATGTCTTTGCTGTACATGGAATTTTCAAAGGTCAGTTATATTTTAGAAGTAGATGGCCAATCCTCCTTCATAGGTGGATGGACAGCGCAGGGGAGGAAGATCCCAGATGAGATGGATTGGTACAGTAACTGGGGCGATGGTGGTTGGTGTGTCAGAATTAGTGGGGCTGGCTCAGGACAGGGACGGTCAGAGCTGCTGTACATGTGGGTCGCTGTGCATCACAGGCGACTCAACCAATAGCATTCTATGACAGGTTTGGAAGCAGGAGTGGCATCCACTTCATAAATAACATGCCTCCGGAAACTCTATGAACTTTGATAAATGCCGATAGTTGTGGAGGGGCTTCCGGCCTTTTCATAGGCTTACTATGAGTCGTACTCGACAACAACATAACTTAATGAATTTTACTTCACGTATGGTGGGCATGTATTTCTGCTGGCCCTGATGTTGTATACGGGACATGCAAATAAATACAAGAGCTTACATTGCTGAGGGGTTTAGAACAGCTCTGCTCAGTGTAGCCCCTGAAGTCCATCTTCTCCATACAATTTCAAAGGCAAGCAGCAAGGATGGGCCTCACACATTGCTCTCAGGAAGGAGGAAGCGGCATCCTCGCTGGCTTCTTTAGAGCAACCCCTCTCCTCTTTCTGGATCAGGGTGAACTTTTAACATAGGTATTTTTCAAATGCAGAAAAAAGGCAGCCTGTCTGGCAGTATCTCCTTAGAGCCAGTCCCTTTAAAGGCCTCTCTTCAGTGTACTCTTCTCAAGGGCTGCTAGTGCCACCTTATGGCCATTCATGGACTTGCAGGAAGGGTTTTCATTTGCCAATCAATAGGCAGGGACCAGAATTCTTAGTAACTTGGTACCAGGGATCCAAGGATTTAGAAAAGTTACTTATTCTTACTTCTACTTTCATGTGGAACTGAACTAAAAAAGAAACCACAGCTTATAATTTAGAGTATTTTTAGATACGTATCCACTGGGTACTGTTGAGTTGGAATTGACCCAGGGCTGACCCTCCAGCGAGTTTTCAGAGGCTGTAAATTGCACAGGAGGAGACCACCCCTCTTTCTCTTGCACTGCAGCTAGTGGACGGATTCAAAGCAACTGCCTCTGGATTTGCAGCACCACTTCTTTCCACTAGGTTACAAGGCTACCTTACATTACCTACAGACCCATCAAAAAATCCTTCCAAATCGTTCTTGCTCCATCCAAACCTTATGTCTTTGGTCCGACTCACTGTCTTGGTGCAGATGTGAATATAGGATCAAGGATGACACATATTCATACCTGTGTATCTATTCTGCTTTAAATACTAAGTGTTCTGCTTTTTCTCTTAGGAAGTCAGAATTTCTTTCTCTTGAGTCTGTTCTCTAAGTGCATGGATACATCTGTTATGGTTAAGTTCAATCAAATGAGTCGGGATACATGTATAGATGCTCTGTTAATTTCAGAAGTCGGGGTGTGTGTGTGTCTCTATGTGCGGTGAAGGGTATGGAGTTGGCAAACCATTGCCTGGATGGTTTTGTGCAGAGGGAGCTGGTGCCTGCCTCACAGTGTCATCTGAGAGAAGGCAGATCCCCTCAGCCCCAGTGGTGCTCTCCCACGTCCCTCTTCATTTCATCAGCAGGAGCAAACAGCCCTGTTAGATGGCCTTGCTCTTCGTTAAAGGGCCATGGTGCCTGGCAGTGGTCTTAACACCCCAGACAGCTGATTGCCCCAGAAATCTGTGGTTCACGCTGTTACTTCTTTCAGACCTTGGCTCAGAGGACACCTTCTCTGACCACCCTCTCTAAGGGTGCCCCCTTCAGGCTCCCTCCTCTCCCAAGGCACTGTCTGTAGTCCCTTCACTAAACACTTATCTGATAGATACACCTACATATTCCCTTGCATGTTTTCTATGAGAATGTAAATCTGTGATGGTAGAGGCTTTTCATCAGTTTTGTATGCTGCTTCCTCCAGTGCTTAAGCCGGTGCCTAGAATGTAACAGTACTTAGTACTCTTCTGGTGAATAATTAATATTAAGGACTCCTGTTGGCAAACAGAAGGTGGGCAGGCCAGACTAGGGTATCCTGGGGAGTGTCGGTATGAGGTCTGATGTTGGCTGTAGGCAGCAGCCTTTCAGTGGAGCCAGTGCAGGGGGATGGGGGTGGGGGTGGGGGACTGCTTACTACAAGGGAAGCGCTCCGGGCTAGGGGAGGAGTGTGCCAGAATTCCAACTTTTCTTCTGTTTCGGCTCCACAGCACAGTGACACTCTCTCCCCTTGTGTGTGTGCCCAGATGTCCTGCCCTTGGGTGGTAAGGGCCAACCCCGCTTGCCAGCCCTCTGACTGAGCATGATGACACCAACCTGTGGACACCACAGAGGCACCTGATGACAGCAGAGGCTGCTGTTACTGCACAACTGTGTCCGTGGACACAAAAGCACAGAGGAGGCATCGGAAGTTTCCAGAAAAGCAAAAACCACCTAGGGTCTGAAAGTCTTAAAGAAACTGGAGGATCATGACATACTGGCATGACTTCAAGCTGCCATGGACATAGAAATAACCAGATCTGGCCAGAGCTTGGGAACATTAGGCTGCATAGACCTGATGTCTTTCTGGATGAGAGCGAGGAGTGTGCACTGTGGCTATGGTCTGAAGCTGGGCCTGGCCACTGGGCACCTCGTGGGCCTCCCCTGGGCCACTTCAGCAACAGCGCGCTATGTAGTGTTTGCTTCCAGGGTGAGGTCCTGGTACCATGCACACACCCCCAACCACAGCCGAGCAGTGAGGCCTTCTCTCCGTTCCCACACTGCAGGGGCAAGCTGCCACATCAACCTACTCTCCCACTGGGCAAAAGGGCAGGGGGACCCCCTCTCCTGACACACCTCCGGTAGAGCCCGCCTACTGTTGTCAAACCTACATTCAAGCAGGTTTGTTTCTCTGCTGCGTTTTTTTTTCTGTCTACAATGATGTTCATAGGTTCTCAGGGCAGAGTGGCATCAGCCTGCTCACCTGTGATAGGTGTAGACGGCCAGTGTTAGAGCAGAGTGCTCAGAGCAGGTGGGATTGCTCCTGACCAGTGGTTTTGGATTCTGGGACTGAGGCTGCAGTGAGGGATGGTCAGTGCTGCTGGCCCTGGGGTTCTGGGCCAGGGCCTGCCTGGGTTTCTATCTTGGCTCTGCCTCAGGGCTCGTTCCCTTTCCTGTGTTCAGCCACTACTTCTCTGAAACACACGAGCTAGGAGAAGGGGTCGAGGCCAAAGCTGTATTCTGTTTACTCTGAAGTCAATTCTGAGAAGGCTGGACCACGTCTGTCCGATTAATCCCAGCGTCTGACAGGGTTCAGCTGCACAGGTCAGTGTTTTGCTCACAGTGTGTGCCAACCGGGTGTGCATTGTTACTACCCTTGAAAGAAGCAGGGAGGGCATCTGTCCTTGTCTCTGCTTTCCCCAGCCACACGCACCTGCTCTGAGGACCTGACATATCTGCACACGTGCCGGCTGGGCCCACGGGGACGGAAGGGACCCACTCACCCAACAGGACGAAGATGCAGGCCAGGATGGCGATGAGGGCGCCGCGGCTCAGGCTGACCGGGAGCATGTAGGCCTCGGGGCTGCAGGACAGGACGTGGCCGCCGTCATCGCAGCTACACACCTGGACAGTCAGCGTGCCCGTGCTGCTCAGCGCAGGCTGCCCGTTGTCGGCGATCAGGATGGGCAGGTAGAAGGTGCCTTGCTCCTGCTGCCGGAAGCCAGACCTCCTGGTCAGCACACGGGCAGTGTTATCTGAGAGGCAGGTGATGAGAGAGGGAGGAGGAGGTGAGAAGAGCAAAGACAACGAGGACTGCCCAGTGACTGATGGTCTTCCACAGAGGAAGGCAAGGGCGGCAAGCAGAGTGAGCTACTGGGCCACTCTGGAGGTTTGCGCCTTCGGCCACATCAGCACCTGTATTCAGAAACCAAGATTTTTACTGACTTCCAGGCAAAACCCTGCGGCCGAAGAGAGAAGCCCTTTTTCAGTGCCTGTGGTACCCTTTGTGAAAAACTGCCCGGGGCGAACTGTCAAGACTTCACTTCTGACGAAAATGTCCCCAGGAAAGCTTGACAGAAAGGAGCAATCACTGGTGACTTGTGGGCCTTTGTTCAGCTCAGCTCGGCGGCTTTGCAGGCCCCAGGAAGATGCGGGCCTTGGGGAGGCGCATGGCTGGTTTCTGCCACTCTCCACTTTGGCTGGAGCTCAGGTCTCTTGCTGTTTTCTTCTATACCTCACCAGTTCCTCCTCTGCTTTTTGAGTAACTGTTCACTTAACAGAAGCTTATTTGAAATCCCCTAATCACACAGCACACCTTGTAATTCTCCTAGCTGGTGGTCTGAGTATGGATTTGGCAAAACATTATCCTTGATCAGGAATGCCAGGGGTTTTGTTTTATTAAATTTACCCCCTTTTCCTCCAGTTTTAAAGGGATTAGTCAAATTATTGGACGTCCTTCTCTCAAGCTGATGTATATATTTATGCATGTATGCATTTGTATTTCTATTTGAGTAATAATAATATACCCTGTGATTTTTACATTTTTTTTAAGGTTCTCACATGTCCTTGACTTGGTTTGAGGTCTAAAGCAGACATATTTTATAGAGCTCAAGTGATTTTTAGCAGAGAACAAATTGGGGAGATGGAGGATAGCAGGCCATGATTTCGAGAGAGACTGTCACCACAGAAGCTTCCCTGGAAGTGTTCCACATTCCACAAGGAAGGGGCCAGACTTTGTACGTAAACCAGTATAAAATAAAATTAAAAATCTCAGAGCCTAATTAAAGTGATTTTTACTAGTGGTCATTAATTATAAATGCCAAATAAGATGATGTGGAGGAAAAACCCTTTTGAAGCCAGAAAGCTTTCATAAACAAAACCCCTTTCATAATGCTTTAGTGAGAAAATGTGGAAATGGGCTTTCTTGAGATAGTCCGCTGTATATGTCTAGAAAGAGCTTAAGTTTTGGGCACAAGGGTGAGTCTGACATTGGATCTACTCCATCAGCTGCAGATCCACCAGTCTTTAGAACGTGCCTCGGTGGTCTGGAACGAAGAAGAGTGAAGCTGGGTAGAGTGGGAGTACAACTTGAAATCCTAAAATGATTAGGCATCCTGGTCTGCCGGAGGCTGGTGGAACCCGTGAGACTCTGCCCCTCAGTGTCAGAATTGAAGTGGAACTGAACACACCTCTCTGGTTAAACCTTCAGCTAAATAATACACAGGTCTATGCTGTAAACGAGCAGAGCAGGGAGGAACGCCTTCCTCAGAACAATAAACCATACAAAAGCAGAAGGACAGCCTTTGCTCAGAGACTCAGAAGACAGGAACGGGGTGGGGGGGTGGGGAGAAAGGTGAATAGAAATGATGCAGGGTAGAAGTGGGAAGAGGGCTGTAACTGTGTCAGACTCTGAGTGGCTCAAGGAAAACCAATTTACTCTCTCAACTATCACTCAAGTCACAATAAAGTTTAGAAGGTGCACTTCAGCAAAGGGTCTTGAGAAGATCTGGGCGCCGTGTTCTGTTGAACACATGCTGCTTGGACTGGCAGGAAACGTCCGAGGGATGAGCCTTTTTCCTCGCGGCCACCATGATGCAGCAGCATAAAAGTTTCAGAGTCTGACTCTTCCCACAAACTCATGCCTGAAATCACCTTTAAGCAGTCTGCTGTATTTCCGTGTCGATGCTGATAAGTGTCAGAGCGAGGCAGAGTATGACAACTGAAAAGGACCCATCCGAGGTTATGTCCCCCCACGATTTCCAATGCAAAACCAGTCCTTAGAGGCTGGACCGACCCTCTGTAGGAAGGGCTTCCCCGTGATGCAGCTCGGAGCTCAGCACTGTGACCTGCTGGATAGCTTAGGCTATTTGATTGTGGTTATTTCTGTTGTTATAAAGGAAATTGCCCTTCCTTTCCGAGTTCCCCTTGTGATTTCATGATAACCCGTGGAGCCCTTCATTTAAAGGAAACCTTTAGAATTGAAGAAAATGGTATAGAGCAGAATTACTTTTGAAATACTCAATTGATGTCTGTGAGTAAGAGCAGTCTTGCCTAATCATGGCTTTTGGCCACCTTTTGTTTAGTTGGCTATAAAGTGACAATGAGCATTTCAGAATCGGAATGAAAACCAGGTGACGGCAGCCTGGAGAGGGCTGACCTCCCCAAGGTCAGCCAGCTAGCTGGTAGCAGAATGACAGCAGAAGGGCGTCACCTGGCAGACTTGAATTCAGTTTTCAGTTGCTCTGACCTTTCTGTGAAGCAGATCGTCTGGCTGGAGAGCAAGTCTCTGCCTTTCCCATCTGTGCCCAGAGGAGAGCGCTGTAGGCTTGTAACCCCCTTAGCACGGGTCCGAATGAGCATTGAAAGAACTGTCGTTAGGTGCCAGGGAGTTGCCTACGGCTCATAGCAACCCTATGAAGGGATCCACATCTTGTCCTACGTCAGCCTCACCGTCTCTGGTATGCTACAGCCTCTTGTTAACAGCCACTGTGCCTGGCCGTCTTGTTGGGGGTCTTCGTCTCTTTCTCTGGCCTACCCCTTCTGAGGACTGGACCCTCCTGACAGCACACCCCTTCTGACAACAGCCCAGAGAGGGGTCGAGGAAAGCTGCAGTGGGAAGCACTTTCTGAAATCTGGACTTCCTTGGGCGTGTCTTTTGAAAGCAAGTTATTTCTGTGCTGAAACTGGTCGATTTGCCCCTGATAACTGTAGTACCAAGGAGCCGAGGTGGTGCTGTGGTTAAGCTCTCAGCTGCTAAGTGAAAGGTCAGAGGTTCGAACCCACCCACTAGCTGCTCCATAAGCGGATGTGCCTGTCTGATCGTGTAAAGGTTTGAAAACTCAGTGCCATCAAATCGAAGCTAACTCATAGGCGACCTACCAGTGGATTTTCAGAATCTGTAAATTGCATGAGAGGAGACTGGCCATCTTTCTCTCACAGAGCAGCTGTGCCTTTGGGTTGGCAATGCAGCTCCTTACGACTAAGCCACCAGAGTTCCCTAATCTGAGTAATCCTCTCATTTTATTGTGACTTCAGACACTGGCTTTTTTTTTGAAAGCGATATATGATTGGGTATTATGGTTATAACAAGAGTCCAGAATGAAGGTTGCATAGTGGAGTGTACTCAGGGAGCGAGGGGATTGTATACCAATGAAATAATTTTTCTTTTACTTTTCAAAGAGAAGAGCGAACTAGGGGGGAGAGGTGGGCAGGGAGAAAAAAGCAACAATGAATGTATGGAAATCCAAAATTTCTGTAAAAGTTCATTAAACTTAATTAAAAAAAACCAAAAAACAAATGATGTAACACCATGATCATCTATGTTGTAAGTGGTGGGAATTGGAAACTAACTTCTCAATATTAAGAATATATGTGAACGTTTTAGTACTTGCATTTCATTTTAATGCATATTTGTGATGATAGTCTTAAATATTTATTGAGAATCTAAAAAAAAACCCTATTAAAGACCAAATTGATGGTTTGTGACACACTTGTCCACCAGCATGTGCTCACTTTGTGTCTCTGTCACGTTATGATAATTTTCCTAACATTTCAAGCTTTTCCGTAATGTTATTGAACCCTTAAGAGACCACCCGCCCCACTCATGTTGAGTGGTGTGTGAATTTGAATGACTGTATTAACTGGCCTTTTTGTAGGTGTGTGGCTGTTACCCTATCATTATAGCATTATGTCTTGCTAGATCTTGAAAATGTTCTGACTGAATAGAACCCATCTCCTCTGCAGTTGGTTATTGCCTGCACAGTAGATTCTTTGTCAGCTGAACAATGGCCAATACTTAGCATTTACCAAATGGCCCATTTACCAAATACGTTATAAACTTCGAATTTTTATAGATTCTTACTTTTTGTATTGTGTTTTTGTATTATTTTTTATAATTACACAATAGAGTAGTATTCAGCAGATCCAACTCAGGCTACAGAATTCCACAATCAGCCAGCTATCTCCCTGCTCACCTTGATTATCCCTCAGAGTGAAATTGGGGTTGTTCGCGGCCTCGGGAGCCAGGCTGTAGTAGAAATGCTGGCCGTTGTGTGGCTCGTCCTGGTCCACAGCACTCACTGTCTGGATCAGCTGAGGGAGGGAACATGGCACCATGTGAGGTGGAGGCAGAAGACTTCCTGAAACCCCAAACCTGGGAAAATTCAACAGCAGGTTTTCTTTCTCTAATGTGTGAAAGCCCCCACATCATCCCAGGATTCCGTTTTGGGTTGTTGTTTGACATGAGAACCTTAATACCAAACACAAACTTGCTGAGTTGGTTCCGACCCACAGTCAACATGTAGGGCACCGTGGCCCCATCCCACTGAGTCTCCCCGCCTGACATCTTTATGGACACCTGCTGTCATGTGATTCCATAAAGCAGCTAGTGGGTTCACACCCTCGACCCTTTAGTCATCACAGTGCTGAGCAGATGTGTCACTAGGACACCTTGATGACCTTTTAGTTGGATGTCACCAAAAACTGGTAGTCACACATCCCAAAGCCACACCAAAGAGTGTGGAAAAGGACTGACCTCAGGGAGCCAGAAGGTCCTGCCTGCTCCTCCCACTTGTCCCTTCCCTGTTTTTTTATCTTTCCCACCACCTGGTTCATCTCCTCATTGGGGTTCCTTTTCCAGGGTTAGATTGCTTGTTCTCTCCATCAGGTCTCTGAAGCTATAAATTTCGCGGAGGAGACTGCCTGTCTTTTCCCCATGAAGGGCTGGTGGATTTGAACCCCTGGGGAGGCCTGGTCACCTGGTCCTTTCGTTAGTGCCACCTGCCCTAGACTGTGCCAGCAGAGTGCTTTGCTATCTCTGTTGCTGTGCTCATGTACCATCAGCTACAACCAACTCAAGAATGGCCCTCTAATGAGTTTTCAGAGACTGCAAATCACACAGGCAGAGACAGGCCGCCTTTCACCTAAGGAGCAGCCAGTGGGCTTTAACCTCTGACCTTTGAATTAGCAGCACAGCCCCATATCCACTAGCCAACAGTGCTACCTTTGCTGTCTCTAGGAAGCTCCAAGTTCGAAGTGATGAATGTCAAAGAGGCAAATAAGAGCTGTCAGATACAGGAACAGGGAACACAGGGAATGGGCCACAGGGCAGACGTACTTTGTTGGCAGGAGGGGAAGCTGGAGAAGTTGGAGGACACAGAGCAGACTGGAGCAAAGTTAGGGAGGGGGAAGTTTGCCTTTCCCACAAATCTTTTGAAATAGGAAGCCGCTCTGATGGTTATGGAGGTGACGGACTCTGTTAGAGAATGTAGTGGGAAGTGGACAGTGGCCACGTCCTCACGGGGCTAGGTTTGGGGGTAGGTGTTGGCCAAGCAGTTCTTCTCTTGTTTGATCTTATTTCTCCCAGACTCCGCCTCCTTTGTGGGCCTGTCCTGTAGGCCCTCCTGCTGCTGAAGCCAGGCCTGTCCTGTAGGCCCTCCTGCTGCTGAAGCCAGGCCTGTTGTTTCTGGCACTTTCTGGGGCTGGCGTGAGGGCCAGGTGAGACTAGTTGATCTTGACATCTTCACCCGTTGTGTAGGGAGGGAAGGCTCTTCTGATTTTGTGTTGAAAACTAACCTATGCACAGGGGCTCCCAGCCAGCGTCCTCCTGATGGACACAGATCATGGGGCTCTGACCCCTCTTCAGTGAGGGCTTGCTTCCTCAGCCTTCTGCTCTGCTTCTGAGCCCCCTTCAGTGAGGGCTTGCGACCGCAGCTTTCTGCTCTGTCCCTGAAGGACCACCTCAGAGCAGCGTCTTCCCCACGGTCACAACATCCAGTGACCGCTGCTGCTCTAAGAGAAAGACCCAGTCATCAGATCTCAGCCTGGGAAAATGCCAGTTCTAGAACTTTCTCTGAAGTCAGCCATGGCTGTTAGCGGCTCTATGCAGTAGTGTCACTAAGGTTGGGGTCACCCAGAGCAGTCAATCATGGTATCACCCCATGTGACCTCCACCTGCATCAGAAGTGGGGTCGGTGGACCCCCCTCCCCTTGGTTCGAGTGACCCTGGGGCCCTGCAGCTCCTCCTCTCCTATGGTCAAGGTGGGTACCCCCTTTGGTCGATGGTGGGGTGCTGTGGCCTACCTGCCCTAACCCTGACTAGCCGGATGGTGGGTGACAGGTGGCATTAACTCTAGTGAGGACACCACAGTCCTGACAGCTTCTCGCTGTGCACTCTGCTGCTGCCACTCTGCCAGGGCCTCTGAGGTCATTTTGGTGTCATCCCCTCTGCCAGTGCCAGGGGGAGAGGCCCTTGCCTCCTGCACTCCTGGTGCTGCCTCTGGGTCTGTTGGGCTGGACATCAACAGCCCAGTCCTGCTTTCTTCTCCTTTACTAACGGTGCCTTGTATGGACACTTCCTCTCAGGGGCTACCTCCTCTTGGGGGACCAATGATGGGACCTATAGGAAAGGATATGACGTAGCTGAGGGTTCAGGAGGTGGGCCTGCTCCACCTTGCAGCTGGGCCAGTCCCCCTCACAACTTGGGAAATCCCTGCAGAACCTCTGCCCACACACAGTCTGGGGGTGAGGTGGGCTGAGGGCCAGGAGGGCTGGTTTGGGCCTTTAAAACACGAAGGGGCCCAGACCACTGGGCAGCATTGGACTTCCTCCTCCTCAGCCCCACTGGCCACATTCTGCTCCTCACACTCATACTGCCCTCGGTGCCACCAAGGTGCTGGATGCTTCCGTGGAGGGGCTTTTATGGCTGTTCCCTGAGGGGAACGTGCACACTGCAGCCCGTGCAGATGCCAAGCTGACAGCAGCGTCCGACTCTGCCACCAGGAAGCCTCATTTGTATGCCCTCCCCGTCCTTATGCAGCTGAGTGCCTCTGAACAATTTTGGAGACATGTCCTCAAGCCAAAATCAAAGGGTAGGATTTTCAATCTCTCCCGCTAAAGATGACAAATGTGACAGATTTGTGGCTCGTGCCCTGAACTCTACTCTAAGTCACAGGTAAGCCGTGCTTCAAAGGACCATGTAATAGACCATTAAAAGATGGATTTAGAAATGGAAGATATGCATGTGAGACTCCCGGGGACAAGCACTGGTGAAAGGGCCATCACCCTCTCAGAACGCAATGGAGCCTCCTCTTCTGAAACCCTTTAAGAAATCTGGAGAGTTTCATTTTGAGGGGTTTCAATGTACTGTACTACTTAATCGTCCTCTTTATGTTACAGATTAAAAATTAATCTCTCCTGTCATATCACAGAGGAGCCCAGGTGGTGGTGTGCGTAATAGACCCAGCTGCTCATGGAGAGCTGGCAGTTCAAACCCGCCAGTCTCTCTGAGGGGGAAAGAGGGGCCATCTCCGCCTAGAAAGCTCTGTACCTTCAGAAGCGAGATGGGGGGGTCGCTAAAAGCTGGAGCCAACATGAGACTAGTGGTTTTAGTTTTGTGTCGTCTTCAGTAAAATTTACAGAGGCTTTGGATTTCCATTCATTCATTGTTGTACCTTTCTCCCCTCCCAAGCCCTCCCCCCCAGAACACTACCCTCTTGGAAAAGTAAAAGAAAAAGTCTTTCATTGTTTTACAAACCCTCCGCCAGGTCCACTCCACCATGTAGCCATTGCTCTAGACTCCTGTCATGACAGAAATACCTAATCACATATCTCTTTTAAACAGTTTTCTCCCTCCTCTATTTCAATGCAGTATACATTATTAAACCCATCTTACTCAGTCTCTCCCCAACCCCAAGGTCAGTCCTCTTTTACAACAGTGGCACCATGCAATATTTGTCCTTTTGTGACTGGGATATTTCATTCAGCATAATGTTCTCCAGAGTCAACCATTTTGAATAATATTGCATGAGTTCATTGTTTTTCAATGCAGCATAGTAGTCCATTGTGTGAATATACCACAGCTTCTCTATCCATTCGCTTGTTGATGGGCACTTAGGTTGCTTCCAACTCCTCGCTATTGTGAACAAAGCTGAAATAAACATAGGTGTGCATTGTGTTGTCTTATACAACTAAAAAGACTCAAAATCCAACTGGCTTCACACAGTCAACTTAACTGCTCGTTTTGTTGAGCCTGAAGAGACTCATGGTTGACCCTCTGGCAGGTTTTCAGAGGCTGTAAATCGCACAGAAGGAGATTATTCATCTTTGCCCCATGGAGTGCCTGATGGGCTTTAATTGGCCTTTGTAGCAACATCACAATTCCCTACAGACTACGCCACCAGAGCCCCCGCTCTTAACACACTAACGATGGCTATTTTTTGTGTCTTGCCTCCCAGTCTTTGTTCACACACAGACCTTAATTTTACATAACTGCCAGAACGCACGTGCAGCCTTTATACAGCCTTCTTTGTATCTCATAATAACATGGACCATTTCTGACACTGTAAAGCCTTTCCTATCATTTTTTTATTGGCTCCATAATACTTCAGGTCTCTCCAGACTAGAAATGCAATAGCTGTGGGAGTAGACCTTCCCTACACTTGTTGAAAATAAGATTTCAGGTACACCCTAGACCAACCCTGAAGTTTGAAGACGCATTGGGGCCATGTTTGGGGAGTTCACAGAGGCAGGATGCGTTGTGATGATTCAGACAGCGTCTCTCTGTGGAACAGGTTGCCGGAGGTGACACTCTGGATGCACGTGACACTGAAGCAGAAGCTACACCCGCATTGGAAGTCTGGGCCTGTCGAAGCCCGAGCCTTACCAATAACGTACTTGGTGAAGCTCTACCTCACAGGGGAGCCATTCACCTTAAAATGCCCTGGCCCATCTCCCCACTGTCAGGCTCTGGGGCCCCAGAACCCGGCGGGGGAGATAAGTGTGGGCTCACAGAGGATAGAAGCTGAGAAGGGAAGCACCCCACAGAGCAGGAGCAAAATTGAGGGGGGCTCATCCTGTGGTCTGAGGTGTGGGAGGAGGGTTGACTCCATGGTCAGTAGCCTGAAGCACACATTTCCACATGGTGGGCCACTGCAGAGGCCCCGCCGCTTCTCCACCACAGCACATGGGGGCGTTACCACCCAACTAAATATACACTTAGGCTTAAACATACACGGCCTTGAGTATCTAGTGCTGCTATAACAGAAATACCACAAGTGGGTGGCTTCAGCACACACGTTTATTTTCTCCCAGTTAAGGCACCTGGAAGTTGTAATTGTGGGCCCCGGCTCTGGAGGAAGGCATGCTCTCTCTGTCATCGCTTGGGGACGCTCCTGGTCTCTGTGTAGCTCCTGTTTCTTTGGTCCTGGGAGATCTGGGGTGGCGTGGCATCTGTGCAGCGATCTCCCATTCTGTGCTGCTTCTCTCCTCACTTGCTCAAGCTGCTCTTTTTATACCACAAGAGAGACCCAAGACACATCCCACCCTAAAGCTGCTGCATTAACATAACAGTGGAAAAAACCCCATTCCTGTACTCACAGCTACAGAGGTACGATGCACAGCTCACATTTTGGGGAGACGCAATTCAACCCACAAAAGCCACTTAATAAAAGTTATAAATAAATGCAAAAAATAAAAAAAAGATTATAGGACTGAAGTCATAGCAAAAGGCTGAGAAATTGTTCCCTTTGATTACTTTCCTCCCAAGGTCCCTATGTGGTGCAGATGGTCTGTGACTGACTAGGAACCCAGAGGTTGCCAGCTTAAATCCACACAGTGATACCACGGAGGACCAGGCCTGGTGATCACCTCTACACCCTAGAATGAACCTGCACCTAACCAAACCTGGTGGAGCCTAGAGTCCCTTCCAGAATTTATCTGTCACAAGTAACATTGAGGAAACAAGTGCTTTATCTGAGAGAGAAATTGGTGAGGTGAGGTTTTAGCATTCTGAGACTAGGGCAGGTGACCCCTAAATAAGGTACTGATTGTCAGAGGTTGGAAAATGAAAGTGTGAAGAGTGGTTATAACCAAAGCTGCTAACCAAAAGGTCAGTGGTTCAAATCTACTAGCTGCCCTGCAAGAGAAAATGTGACAGCCTGCTTCTGTAAAGATTGACAGCCTTGGAAAACCTGTGGAAAATCTCCCCCACCCCCACCATGTTCTTCAGGGCTGATAGTCAATCATTTAAACAGGCAGGGTCTGCAAGGTGCTTTTAGACTAGTGTTAACTTCAGGGAAGAGAGACCCCTCCCTCCCCCTCCCGATCTGCATGGTACTTCACTCTAGGACCCACTGCGGGGATGTTAAATGGGGCACAACAGTCAGCTTCAAGGCAGGGAACCAGTGAACTAAACCATCATGTAGGATTGCTCAGACCAGATAGTGCACCCTAGCTCTGAACAGCTGTCCCCCAAAATAAACCACTGGAGCAGGAGGTTGAGGTTGGGGCTCTTTGGTGGCACTTGCTTAGTATGCTGGGGTGGAAAGGGGCAGCTGCCCCCAGGCGCCTTACCTGTCCTGCCTTGGCGTTTTCACAGACAAAAGCTTCGTAGAACCTGGGAAACTCTGGAGCATTGTCGTTCACGTCCAGGACTTTGATGGTGACACCAACGCTTCCCACCTGCGAGGGGTTGTCTAAGGGAAGGGGAAGCAGAGGGGTCAGGCAGGGGGAGCAGCTCCTTGCAGGAGGCAGGCACCTGCGAGCCTGGCTGGCATCAAAGGGGCGGCTGAAGCCATCTCCTTGCTGCTGGACACAGCAGCACAGCGGAGGGCATGCTTTGCCTTTGGGAGGGTGGCCTGAATGTGAGGAAGCTTGGCTGGCATGAAACGGGGTGTGTGCACCATCAGGAGTATGAGGGTTAGGACGAGACTTGAGCAGCAGCAAGCATCACCCCCTGAATCGTAACGAGAGACTGTAAAGCTCTCGGCTCGCTCCTACTTCAGGTTCTAAAGCCAAAGGCCATATTCTGGGCATCCAGGCAGCACGTTTGTGATCCCATATGTATGCTGGAAGGCACTGCTTATTTTTATAGTGTTGCAACTCTTCTTTGCAATCTATTTCAAAAAGTTTCATGTGAGTCACTGGAATACAGAGCACCACAAAATTATTTCTGCTTAAGAGCGAAGGAGATATGACAAGATCCAGCACATACCAGCCCCCTGCCTTAGCCTGGGCAGAGGACGTTGCTCCTGGCCACTCGGGGAACCTGTTCTCTTTGGTACACGTCTGTTGGCAGTGCTATCCAAAGACAATTTCACAGCTTTGGTAGTGTTCCTCGTAAGTGTTTTTCATCAACCCCGGAAAACTAAAGAAAAATCTCAATTTGCTGAAATTGTTCTTATTAAATATTTTTACTAGCTCCTAGAATACCTTGTTCCTGTGATTCATTTCCCCCTCTTTCTTTCACCAAGATATCTATGCTGCTCCAGTACTTTCCTCTGAATACTTCTATTGCTTAGTTGGTGATGCCAACAAAATTACGTGTTGTTTTTTTCTCTCCCCTCATTATAACGATGGTGCTTGTTTATAGAAAGAGTAATGAAATTCCAGAGAAACCTAAGTGAATAAGTATGGTTTACAATCCTAACCCTAAAGATAAACATTATATGGATTGACACAGTGACGATGGCAATGGGGGTCAGGTGTGTTGCAGGTGTAGATGGTTAAGGTTGGCTCAGGATAGGGCAAGGTGCAGAGTCCTTGTTCATAGGGTCACTGTGAGTTGTCAACTTGATGACACATAGTAACAACAATGCAGCAATGGTATATGTGACATTTTTAATATATAAATCCAAGAGCTGTGGAGATAGACACACACACAAACACATGGAGTTAATGGAAACACACAGTGAGATTTAGTACTGAAAGTTCTAGGCTATGATTATTCTGTGTCACTGAATATACTTTGAAAGCATGGCTGTTTTATGATTGGACCATAACTTATTTGGTCAGTTCCTATTGGACATTCCAACCCTCCTCCCCATCTTTAAGTACCATTTTGAGCAACTAACCCTTTGGTGCAAATAGTTTTGTTAATACTTGTTATTATTCAAGATAATTACTGAGAAAAAGCAAATGAATATTTTAGATATTCTTACTAGGAATTGCCAAATTACTCTCTTTCACGAGTCTATTTAATTTTCATCTACTGATGGGTTATTTGTCTATATTTTATGTACCTTTATCATCACTAGGTATAATGAAAACAAAAATCAGAGCTAAATTTAATTTGGTCTTTGTTAAATTTCCATTTCACTTGTCATGTTTTTTTATATTAATAAATTTGCTTTACACTGTAAGATGCCTCAAATTCTTAGATGCATGACTCTCTGTGTGTGTGTGTGTGTGTATACATACATGCATGTGAATGCATATGAATGTAAAGAGGATACATTAGAAATGTTCCTTTTTTATCCAGCAATATATTGTTATACTCTTTTATTGATTCCTCTCGGACTTCTCAGAAATCTCCTTCGTTCCTCATAGAAAAGTCTGGCCTTCACTTGTTTGAATTAACCATACTTTTCGTTTCCTCCACTGAAGAGTAAAATTGTCTAACAGCTGCCAGGTTTCAGAGCCGTCCACTCTGAAGAGCATCCCGTCTTGACCCCTGTAGAGCCCGCTGCACTGCTTTACTTACTCATCTCCATGGCGAGGACAGTGATGTTGTGCCACGAGAACTCCTCCCGGTCCAGGGGCCTTGCCGTCATTAGGGCGCCTGTTGTAATGTCAACGTAGAAGAACCTTCCAGGGTCACTGCTTCTGTCAATGGAGTATCTGCAACAACAGTGGATTTGGTGCCTCATTTACATCAGAATAAACGCACCACAGCACACCGTGTCATAGAATGGGACCACACCTGGCTAAAACATGGCTGGATCAGCCCTGAGTGATGGACGCTTGGGAGGCCGTGAATACTGATCATGTCCATGAAACAACAGGCTATTAACTGCTTTAAATTTATCATGGATAAAAAGAACTAAAACAATGGGATACTATGTTGTTTGTTGTTGTTAAGTGCCGTCGAGTCGCAGGTGACTCATAGCGACCCCATGAAGGAGAGTCCTCGACGCTTGGGTGCCTTTCATCCTCTCTCCAAGTTCATAGGGTTTCCAGAGGCAAGCTATTACGGAAGTGGATGCCACGCCTCCTTCCACGCTTGTTTAATCGGGGAGCTCCACCCCACTCTCAGTCCGCATTGGGTAGCCAACCATTAACGCATTTGACACATTCGTGTCACAGGGTTCAGCCTCACAGCAACCACATCTTGCCACTGTTGTTGTTGTTATGTGCCGTCTATACTGCACTGAAAAATAAGGAACTCATACAATAGTATTCAAAATGGGTGACCCTGGAGGACATTATGCTGAGTGAAGTATCTTAGTCACAAAAGGACAAATACTGCTTAGTGCCACTGTTGTAGAACAGGACTGACATCAGGGTTGGGGTGAGACTGAGAAAAACTGGATAAATTATGTATACTGCATTGAAACAGATGAAGGAGAGAACAGTTTAAAAGTGATATATGATAGGGTATTACGGTAATAATAAGAGTCTGGAATGAAGGCTGCACGGTGGAGTGTACTCGGGGTGGGGAGGGTGGTGCGGGGGAATTGTATACCAATGAAGGAATTTTACCTTTCAAAGAGAAGAGTGAACTGGGGAGGGGTAAGGGTGAGCAGGGAGAAAAGTGCAACAATGAATGGGTGGAAATCCAAAATCTCTGTAAATGTTCACTAAAATGAATAAAATAATATTTATAAAAAAATCTTTTTAAAAAAGAAATAAAACAGTGCTGAAAAGCTTAGTGTTGTTTTAAGCTATTTAAATGCCAATTTAAATTGTTTAAGGTTTAAAACTGATCAAAAAGCATTTCACTCAAATGACTTTTCCAGTGCTAAATTAGAACAGGAAAACAATTCCTAGCAGTACCAGCTGCCTGGAGTTGATTCTGACTCACCCTCTAGGTGTTTGAGAACAAACCTGTGCTTTGTGTTCAATGACTGGGATCCTCAGAAGTAATGCTGCCAGCCCTCTTTTCTGAGGTGCCTCTGAGTAGATTTAAACTTTAGGTTAGTCGCCAAGCACTTAACCTCTCACACCACCAAGGAACTCTTGTCTCTGTAAACAACATCCCCTTCGATAAGGGAGAGGGTCCTGGGGTGTGGTACAGAACACATGCAGAGATGGACAACTGAAAGGTGGCCTAGTCCTGAGAGAGCTGAACTGCCAGCTGAAGTATCAACACTTGTCAGTGGTTCGAATCCACCAGCTGCTCTGGGAGAGAAGGATGGAGTTTCTCCTCCCGTGAGATTTACAGCCTCTGAGAATCCACTGGAGGGACAGCTGTGAGTCAGTTCCAACTTGACAGCAATGATTTTGAACCCAAAGATCAACACCTTTAGAACCCACCAGCCACTGCCTGGGAAAGAGATGGGTGTCTCCTACTCTAACAACTTACAGCCTCAGAGACTGGATGGAGGGTTGGAACTGACTAGCTGACAGTGTGGGTTTTGGGGAAGGAAAGGTTAACATCACTGCCTGCTGGGAAGGAATGGTTCAGTAAGCAACAGACCTTTGCAACCACACCAGTGACTGACCTTCCAGCAAAGACAACAATGGCTTCTCCCAGTGGGAGAGGACTTGTGCATGGAAGGCAGTTAGCAGGATGGGTCAGGCCTGCCCTGGGTGCTTACTGTTCGTGAATTTATGGGACACAGCTTGCTGGACCATGTACAAGCCCTGAAATTAATGGGGTATAAAGAGGAGAGGTTCCATGAGCAAGACAGCTCCTTCTGCGGAGGAAATGTGCTTCATTAACCGTTGACTTCTTTCCTGTTTGGTCTGGACCAGCGTGTATCCTGATGTGGGAGGAGAAGGCTATTTCACCTGACAGTTCTGCAAGGGAGAACGCTTGGCCATACATACACTGGTGTGGTCTGTGTCCTGCAAGAGTTAGCAAATGTGGTTCCAGCTAAGATCTGCAATTACTGTTGAATCTAACTTGGCAAGCCAACCCATTGAATTCTCTCACTGCCTCAGTCTTTGGAGTTTCAACGAATCTGGAGGGAGGCTCAAGCTTCTGGCTGTTTCACCACCCAACAGGGGTTCTGAGAAATAGCCACACTTGAGAGCCACTGCTAAGAGTCTTACGCAGCCCTTAGCAATGCGAGGATCGCTCACACCCTCCATTTACTGACTCTCATACACTCTACTATGTACTTGATACAAACCTTCTTAAATTCTGCCAGTGCCCCTGGGAGGGAGATACTATCCCAAGTAACAGACAAGGAAACTGAGGCTCAGAAAAGTGAAGTAACTTTTACAACAGTTCTATAGCTAATGATTGACCAAATAATATATTGAAAAATAATATAAGGAGTTGCACTGACAACCCGAAGGTATACAATTCAAATCCACCAGCTGCTCCACAGAAGAAAGACGGGCAATCAACTCCCGTGTGATTTATTGCCCCTGAAAACTCACTGGAGGGTCAGTTATATGTTGGTTCTGACTTGACAATACACAACAACAAACAAAATAACAACAGCAACAACTATCTAATACCCGTTGTTGTTCACTGTTGTGTATCATAGGGTCAGAACCAAACCAAAGTTGACCCTCCGGCAGGGTTTTAGAGGCAGTTCATCACACAGGAGGAGTTTTCCCACCCTTCTCCCACAGAGCAGCTGGTGGCCTCGAACCTTGTGTCTTTGGGTTTGCAGCACAGCTTTTTGCCATTAGGCCATAGCTACAGGCTATATATTAAAGATGCTTAACTCATTTGTGTCCTATAGAACATATATCGCTCACATTTGCTCACTGCTATAAAGTTGAGTCCGACTCAGAGTGACCCTCCGCTGGGTTTCCAAAGCTGAAAATATTAACAAGATGCGATTGTCCATATTTCTCCAGCAGAGTCAGTAATGGGTTCAAGCCCTGGGGGTGCTCACTGTTTCAGTTAAACCACACCACGTTCTATGGACTGCTCCACCAACCCACCAATAGTTCCAGCGTCTCAGGCTTCTTGGGAAGTTGCTATCCCAGTTGTAATACGTGGTGCCACCTGGTGCGGACCTGTATAACTGAGTAGACATAAATAAACCAGCCTCATCCCATTAATCCTGTCACTAGAGTTGGGACATATATGTCTTATATAATTGTATCAAAGGCCCTAGTCCCTCAAAAGCCATCTTCCCTTGATTGCAGGATGGAAACAATATGGTATCAACAAAAAAGTCAAAGCAGAAAACAGTCATGAAAAGGTTAAAGTTGGGCCTGTCCATAGGTAATAGCGAGTTGTTTCTTCTGCTTAGTGCCTTGTTCTTTAAACTGCTGGTCAATGGTAAATGTTAAAAAAATGAGGGTGACCATGAAGCTGGGAAGTGGATGGTGCCGATGTTTGCATGCGGTGGTGAGTGCAGTTAATGGGCTACACTGTACAAATTAACATGGTTGGATTGTTTTGTGTATTTTGCTACAGTTAAGAAAAGGAAGAGAAAGAGTTGGATTTTCTCTTAGGAGGACAGAATACCCACTGGCTTCGACAACCCACCATGTCTGCCGGCTTCTCACACATGAGGGCAGTCTGGCCTGGGCCTGAACCCTTGCAGCTGCCTCCAGCACAAAGGCAGCTCTCCAGGTGGAGCCACAGAGTGCAGAGCTGAAGGGGCAGCAGCTCAGCGTGAACCTGCCGCCCTTTCCCTCCACCTCCATGGCTACCGTTGATGTCACAGATGGTGTCAGAAATGGGGAGGGTCAACACCCAGAGCCTGTCACCCTGTTGCCCGGTGGCCCTGGGGGCGGGAAGGACACTGGAGGCCCAGTGCACAGAGGCTTCCTGAGCAAGTGGAATTGGGGCTTGAGTTGAGGAAGAATAGCTTCTGCTGCTCTGAAAGGGACACCTGGCCCGGTTTCAGGAGGCAGGAGAGGGGATTAGAGTGCAGCTACAGAGGGAAAATGAGGAAAGTGGGACACACGGTGAATTATGGAAGTGTCTTCCCTCACATGCAATATTTTCACCTTCTCAGAACAGGTACGCAGACACACACAAGGCCACCTTGGAGATGGCGGCTGGGGTTCACTGGGATCCCTGCTTATTTGCTTGATTGAAGATAAACTCTGAATCTGGGGGAACTCAGAAGCAGGGTGTGACAGCAGCCATGTCCCCCCTTCTCACTCTAAGATGGCAAGCATGGGGGACAGGCTGCTTCCACTCCAAAAGGAGCCCCCCTCAGTGCCCAGATGCTTTCCAGTTCTGCTTTCCCAAAACCCTTAGGCATTTTATTCAAAGTTCAGAAAATTGAAGCATTGTGGTTTTCACTTCTACACAACTTGATCTAGAGACTTGGTTTGGAGATCTAGCAGTATGAGGACTAGTTCATCTGTGGGATACACTATGGTCTTCCAGGAACATCAGGAAAGCACCCACAGTCTTTAAAATAGGAAAAGGGATCTTATGTAGAACATGTTCTGCTGGTCGTCCAGGGACTGTTTCTTGGTGTCGTGGGACCAGTACAAAGAGGCAGGGGTCCTTCATCTAGAAGGTGAATGTACCTTCTTTCAGCAGCAACAGAGAGTGGGAGGTTTCTAAAGCCAGGGCTCTGGTTTGCTCTATGCCCAAGCCCTTGTCCTCTTCCTGCCAGCGTGTGGCTTCACTCTTGTTCTTGCCAGGTCTCTCTGGATCTGCCGTCCTGCTCCTTGGACCCTGTCTGTCTCTGGTCCCTCCACTCTTGGATCCCTCTAGTCAAGGACCTGCAGGGTCCCTTGATGGACCTCCCTGACAATAGCACTGGGCTGGCCCACTCACATGTTACCCAGCCAGCATTAAACAGCTGTGTTTTCTGTTGGCCAGGCAGGAGGCCTCGAGTGTGAAGACAGCCCTGCAATGGAGATATTGTGGGGCCTAGACCACCTTAAAAGCAAGTCACACGAATTTCCCACTGTGCATAAAAGTTATGTTTCTACCTTGTCCATGTACTCTGGGGGCACAGTTCATGCTCTGCTGTGCTGATAACGATGAGGGCTTGAGTCTGTGGGGCCTGACTCCACTGGTGGCTCTGAGGGAGAAAGATGGGCAATCCCTTCTGATTTATGGCCATGGAACCTGAGTCAGAGTTGGCTTGACAGCAGTGAGGCGTGCTTTTTGTCTTCTGGGGTTTGGGTTGGTATTTTTGGAGGAGCCATCTATGAAGTGTGCCACCGAATGGCTGACAGAGTCTGAAATCTGCAGGAACTACCAAAGTGTCACACAGAGGCATGGTGTGAGGGAAAATGCACCTGGCATGCCTGCTCGATGCAGGATCGTCCCACATCTTCCGTTTGCGGAAAACGCATTGGGTATGAAGGGCAAGGAAACAATGTGCCGCTAAGACGAAGAGCCCCTGTCTCGCCTGGTGCTCAGTGCTGGCGGTGGACCTGGAGCCCGGAGCCTTTTCTTTCTTAGACGAGATCCTAAGGTTGAGTTAGAGCTTGAGTCCTGGACACTGTGCTTCCTGGGTCCAAATCCTGGTCACTGTGTTTCCTGACTCCAGTCAGTTCCCTCTGCTGCTTCACCATTCTGTAGTGAGTCTCCTGGAGAACTTGCGCTCAGCCTTCACTACTCAGAAATCCGAGGCCTGACTCAGAAAACGATGACGCAGCATCCACGCTGTTACCATGGATTTTAGAAACGGGCTCTGATCTCTGTCCAAGTTCAAGCTTGTCTTACTGCCCAGTTTCCCCCCAGCTATTTATCTTATTATTGCTCAGTTTTCTTCCTAAGTTTTTGCCTTAGTTTGTCTTCTGAAAGGAAGAAATGAATTGATTGCTCAGATGATGATATATATCTATAAAACTTAGATTTGTGAAAACAGAAAACTTGCGATAGCATCTACTTCTTTTTTTATGGTAATAGTTCTGGAGATAATAGGGTTTCTTCCTGCCTCATTTTACATCTTAAAAGCTGCAGGTCGAAGCACCATGCTCATAAAGTTGTTATCACTTGTAATTGAAAGATTAGTTGCCTTTTAAAAGTCAAACATCAACATTCACACACAATCGTCTTAGCCATTTTAATGCCTGGAAACGTAAAATGTTTACCAGTCCATTAGAGGAGGCAGACCTCTCCGTAGCCAAGATGAAGTCTCGGGAGAGCACTATCATTGGCTAAAACTGGAAAAGCACATTTTCAGTAAATGCATAATAGCACCAAGAGGAGAAAGCATCCATTGACAGAAAAAAGCATTGATGAATCCGGGTGTATTCAAATGTGTTATCTGCACCAGAGCCCCACTCCATTTGACTGTATGGCTTCCAACAGTTAATGTGACAGATGGCTTCGGACGGCCCTGGGACCCTGCTCTTCAGTGCCAGGCTTCAGCGGCTTGGCAGTTGCTCTGAAAGGTTGAGATGTCAACCTGTCCACCAGCTGCTCACACTCTGGTTCCAGAGCTGATGGGAAATGGCTGTGGCTATAAGAGCGGTTCCCCTTAGCACTTTGAGTTCAAAACACACCATGGAAGGTCTGTGGGATGACAGTAAACATCCTCTCTGGCCAGTCCATATGACATCAAAGCCACTGTCACCGGGTGAAGCTGCTTACGTCTGTTCTTTCTATGCTATGTGGTCATGTTGTTTTACCAACATTTCACTCCCTCGTAAAGGGAAAAAAGTCAAATGGTCACACAAGCTGAAAGAAGGCACATTGATAATATTTGTAGTCACCACTGAGACTTAACATGCTGACATTTTTGTCTGTGCTCATACATTGTCTAAAGCGGTGGTTCCAGATCTGGGGTGATTTTGGCAACATGGGGCCAATAACTGAGGACATTTTAGCTTGTCACCACTCAGAAGGTGCTACCGGTGGAGAGAATTCAGAGATGTCACAAACACCATACAATACGCACCCCCCCACAAGAGTTTCCAGCCCAACATGTGAATAGTGCTGTGATTGAGAATGAGAATGAGAGAAGAGAAGAGAAGAGAGAGAGAGAGAGAGAGAGAGAGAGAGAGCGCGCGAAGGAAGGAGAGGGTAAAAGGGTAGGAGGAAGGGAGGGAGAGGGAGATGGAGAGAGAGAAGAAGAGGAGAGGAGAAGAGAGAAAGGAGAGAGGGGGGAGGGGGAGGGGAAGGGAGCGGAGGGAGGAGGAGAGAAGGGAGAGGGGAGAGAGAGAAGAGAGAGAAGAGATGTGTTTGCAGGCATGACGACACTTTACTTTCTCAACATTATGGCAAGTTCAGTTGCTTACACAGAGAGAAATAAAAAGGAGAGGAGCATATCCAAATGTGGGACAGGAAAGGAAGACACAAAGAAAAGTGACTCCTTTCTCCCCTTTATCGTGAAGGGATGATACGTTTCCAGATATAAGGCCAAGGTGAAATCTGTGTGAAAACCTGATTGAGTTGTTGGTCACGTCGGGGTCCTTGGCAGAAATGATCTGTATGGTGGTTCCAATGGCCACGTCCTCGGGAACCTCCACGAAGTAAAAGCCAGGCTGGAATACCGGGGGCTCGTCCACATCCTCCACACTGATGTGCACCGTCGTCGTGTCCTGAAACGGGCCCAGGCTCAAGAAGCGCATCTCCAGGTGAGAATTGGCTCCCTCCACTTTCAAGGTGTAGCTTTTCTTGCTTTCGAAGCTCAGGGGCTGAAAAGTGATCACAGAAAAAGGAATTTAACTTCCAGCATGTATCTATCAGGCTTCTAAAAGCTGGCCAATATTGATGGCCAACTGTAAGCTCACAACCAGACCAATACACAATATCATGATAAATGGAGAAGAGATTGAAGTTGTCAAAGTGGTAAAGAGTTGCACTGTGAATCCAAAGACATGAAGTTCGAATCCACCAGCTGCTCCCTTGGAGAAAGATGGACAATCTCCTTCCATGCAATTTTCTGTTTCTGAAAACCAGCTGGAGGGTCAGCTGAGTTTGTTCCAACTTAATGTTACACAGCAATTTTCACAGTAACAGGAGTTAAGAAATCAAAACATGTACTATCTTGGGAAAAATCTTCTGTCAGGGACCTCTTTAAAATGCAAAAAGCAAGAATGTCTATTTGAAGATTAAGATGTTCCCAATCCAAGCCATAGCATTCTCATAGGAAGGTTAAAAGTAGGAAATGGACAAAGAAGATCACATGAGAATTGATGTCTTTGAACTGTGGTTTTGGTGATGAAAATGGAATATCCCATGGACTGTCAGAAGAACAAATACATCTTTCAAGGATGACATGCAGTCAGAGGGCTCCTTAGAAGTAGGGATCATTAGGTTTCATCTCACATTTATTTTATTTTTTATAGCTTTTTTAATTATTCCCCCCACCCCTTGTGTACCATCAAATCAAATCTGACTGGCACAGGAGATTGCCCCTCCTTCTCCAGCTGGGGGATTTGAACAGTGGACCTTCAGAATTCCAGTGCAGTTTCTTGCCAGTAGGCCATCAGAGCTCTCTCAACTCACATATTTAGAAAATGTTATCAGGAGGCACCAACCATTGGAAAAAGGCATCATGCTTGGGAAAGGGTCAGTACAAGAGAGAAAGACCTTTAAGGAGATAGACTGATCCAGTGGCTGCAGCACTGAGCTTGCACACAGGAGAGGCCTTGAGGATGGTGCAGGATTGGGAAGGGTTTCTTTCTCATGTATGTAGAGCTGTCATGAGTTGGGACTGACGGGATTGCACTTAACACCAACGATCAGAGAGGATCCTTCTAAAAAACTCAATCCGGTGCCCCTTTTTACAGTTGAAGAAGCTGAGACCTACACAGACAGCCCAGGAGATGTGACTAAAGCCAGCGTGGCGGCGTGGTGTTGGAGCTCGAATACTGGTTGAGGTGGTGTGATGCCTTATCCAAAGCTCTTCCTCAAGACTTTCACTTTGTCTTAAATGCCATCAGAAAAGGTGGTGGTGGTGGTGTTTCCTTTTTTTTTAAACCTATCTTTATCTTCAGAATATTCCATTTCAAGATAGATGTATCACTTCAAGGATAAGAGTGAAAGGAAGTGCCATTTCTTAAGAATAATTCATTTTCATAGCTGACAAAATGTTTAAATGTTTTATATAACAATTACTTCAAACTATTCTCAATAATGGGAAAAGAAATTAAGTCCTCTCTACAGTGGCCAGCAAAGCAGTGTCAACATAGTATGTCAACGCACTGATGACATGTTTTCTCACAGCCAAACATGTGATCTTTTTTTTTTTGTGTGTGTGTGTGTGTGTGTACCGTCAAATCAGATCTGACTGGTACCGGAGGAGATTGTTCCTCCTTTCCCGGCAGAGCATCTGGGGGATTCGAACCATGCGCCTCTGGGATTGTAGTTGCAGCTCCTTGCCACTAGGCCACCAGAGCTCCCCGTGGTCTTTTTTTTTTTTAAAGAAATATGCTGAATAGCAGCACCTGCACACAGAAACGCATTTGATGTCCACTAAAGCAACTACATAGAAACAAGCATAAACAGAGACTGTTTATTTGTTCTGTTGTCATTTGTTGGCCGCGTGTCCAGCGTTGACTTGCTTCTTGTCATGATGCTGGACATTGTACTTACATTATTTCACTCATCTCTATGAGCTGTTCTTAGATGCCATCAAGTCTATGACTTCTAGTGATCCAATGCACAGCCCATCTGCATCTCGCCCTATCTTACAACATCCTCACGACCTGTCACACTCAAGCCTCTTGTGTAGACACCACAGTGACCCATCCCATGAGGGTTCTGTAAGAGCACATAAAAATAGAACCTGGGAACACAATGCATAATGTATCGGGCTGCTGAGTGAAAGGTCCATTGTTCAAATCCACTGGCTCCACCTGTCCTGTAATGATGTATAGTCTTAGAAACTTCACAGAAAGCCTCTGTGAGTCAGAAACATGCAGCTGTAGTGAGCTTGGTCTTTTGTCTTTTTGGATAAGTAAGACGTAAGTCAAGGGTCAGCAAAAGAGAAGACCCTCAGTAAGTTACACTGACACAAGGACTGTGGCAATGGGCACATCAGATTGTGAGGGTGGTACACGATTGGGCCGGGTTTCATTCTGCTCTGGGTTCAATGGCATCTGACCACAACCGTGAGGAGATGCACTTTTAATCTGGACTAAAAAGTATTGTAACGCTCACAAGCTTAACTTGCCAACCATCCTTTATGAACGCAGAATTGGCCATGCTTTCTGCTGCGTGCTGTTGGCTAGACCAAGACCTAGACCAAGACCTCACACTGAGTCTAGAGGCAAGAGACACTGGAGACTGCAGTGGACACGATACGCACATACTGACCAGCTAATGCCCTGTTTCCCTGCCACTCAAGCCAAGCGGCCATTTAGACTGATCTTCCTGCCTCCTGAGTTCCCGAAGCAACAGCAAGATTTTTAGAGACCGAAATCTCTCACTCAGATTATATATTTGGAGGACTAATTTTACTGATTTCTTTCACGTAATACTTACTCTCTAAGTCTAAACATTTATCTTTGTTGAAAAAGTACTTTATATTGTCTCTCACTAAAAAAAATTAAATTTTAAAAAATCTGATGCTGCTGTTGAGAAAATTTACCCACGAGCAAAACATGTCCCAGGTCAACAATTCCTCCAGGTGCAGCCCAGCGATACTGATGGCATTCTTCAAGTCAGGCAAATGTTCTCCCCTCTTTTCTGAGTTCTTCCTTCCTTAGTAACAAATTCACTGCCCCCTGAGGTTCTGACCTCATCTTTCAAGCTGTTGTCAATGTGATCCCATATGTCGTTTGTTGACGTTCTGTGGAGTTGATCCAGATTCTTATTGACTCTGGGAACAACAGATCTGGACCTCGCCTTATCCTGTACTATTGCTGTTGTTAAATGCTGTCAAGTTGGAGTTGTAGGTGACTCGTAGCAACACTATGAACGAAAGACCTGAACACTTGTTTAACTTTCTTCATTTCTCCAGGTTCATAGGGTTTCTGGAGGCAAACTGTTTCAGAGGTGGATGCCACTCCTGCTTCCAAGCTTGTTTTAATCGGGGAGCTCCACCAAACACTGTCCACTATGGATGACTAATATCGCATTTGGCACAACTGTGTCACAGTGTTCAGCATCACAGCAATCATGAGTTACCTCTGTACAGGAAACTGATAGAACAGTGCTGCTATACCACCTAGAAGAATGTTTGACCAAGAACAATTAAAAGCAGGCTTGAGGGACGCAGATTTGGCTTGGTAGCATCACTTTCTGTCCAATAAGGCAACTGAGCTCTCTTTATGTTGCTGTTGTTAAATGCTGTCGAGTCATAGGCCACTCATAGTGACCCTATGAATAAAAGACCTGAATACTTGTATAACTGTCTTCATTTCTCCGAGTTCATAGGTTTTCTGGAGGCAAGCTATTTCAGAAGTGGATGCCATTCCTGTTTCCAAGCTTGTATTCATGTCTTTTTCCAAGGACTCGGTCCTCTGACAATATGCTCAAAGTATGGGAGATGAAGCTTCACCATTCTCATCCTTGCCTCTAAGGAGTGCTTCTTTCACGCCAGACTTGTTTGGTTTTTTGGCAGTCCACAGGATATTTGGTCCTCTTGTCCAACACCACAACTCAAACCCATCAGTTCTTAAGTCATTCTTATTCACTGTCCACCTTTCAGATGCATGTGAAGTAATTGACTAGATTATGGCTTAGATTAGGTGCACCTTAGTCTTTAAACTCTCTTTGTTGCTCTTTATCACTTTAGAGAGGTCAGATTGGTGGCAGAATTTTCAAATTCAATGTCTTTTGATTTTTTGAGTGCTAATTTCTGGAAAATTATCCTAAAAATCTCTTTAAGAATGATTAAGATACTTGTCTATGTTGAACTACATATAATCAGAGTGAGATTGCAAGATTTTATGGAATTTTATACTTTGTAAGACACATCTAAAATGTTCTTCCCCAGTCCTGTGTCACCCTTACAGACACTTATGCTTGAGCCCATAGTAACTGTCAGTGTCAATCCATCTCTCTACTGGTTTTCTTTTTCACCAACTTTCAGTAAGAATGCTTACATGTAATGGGTAAGTGATAATATATACAGATTTTACGCTGTCATATTCCAATGATTCTGAGACGCTCTGTCTGTGGGGCATAGTCTGTGGGGAGTTGCACTGCTAAACCGAAGGCGATGTGAGTCTACCAGTGGCTCCCGGGAAGCGAGATGAGCCATCTCCTTCCATGTGGAACCTTCAAGAAACCTGCTTGAGGATCTGCTCTGAGTTGACTCTGACTCCATGGCAACAAGTTTTAGGTTTAAAGGAGGCATTATTCTTCCCCTCCAGACGTGCTTCTCCAACTGATGAGCTCACAATTGTTGTAGGTCCATAGGAGGTGAGACGTCACCGTCACTGCCTGTACACGCCACACTTTGGCCAAGCTGTCCATGTTGTTGTACTTCAGTCGACTTCTGCATGTGCTGAACTCTGAAAAGTCTTTAAATTATTTAATACGACGTGGCATTGAAACAAAAGTTGTCATGTAGGCAGCAGCACAGCACGCAAGCAACAGCCGGGGGTAGATCTGATAGTAGGCGAGTAAAGATGTCAAACTGTCTATAAAAGCTCTTCCAAAAATTGCAGACTCAGAAAGGAGAAAGCCTTGTATCCTTTCAATTGGCTAGATATTTCTCCTTGTAATAGCACATAACATTAAAAAGAAAAGAATGAATTTTACAACTTATGGCATCCTAGATTTGATGAAATCGAGAATTCTGCTCTAAGAGGAAAATGGACTCTGAACAGTTGCTTCAAGGCGGAAGACATACTGAGGACTGGAAATGGCACAGCATCTTTTCCATTGTAAAATGAACAACAATCTGAAAATTATATATCTCAAGTTATAGTCCAAGTGTTTAAGTCAACAGACTGGAAATAAATTGACTGATTATTTAAAAGCTAAAAAAAGAAGACCCAGGCTACTGGGTAGTAATCAGTGTAATTGTATGAAGACTTAATTCTATCAATTCAACTTAATTTCGCCTTTTGAAAACTATATGTTTTTGACAAATAATAGGTCTGAGGGAGATAAATAAGAAGCAGGACTTTTGTTTCAATTATGGTTGGTGTTTCTGATGACCAGCTGGGAAGATGGGTGTCGATGAGGCCTCTGTGTGGGTGCTGTCCTGAAGGTGTAGACAGAGCAGTCAGTCAATAACCTCTAAAATGATTACTGTATATATGACTTGTGCGTTTACCCAACTTCTAGACCTTTTTCCTAATTCCTTTTCTGGCACCTCAAGAGTTTGGAAGATAATTCAAAATGACCTTGGCATAACTGATGTGTGCTTTGACTGAATATGGGTATAGTTTCAGTCACAGCATTTAGTCATGGCTCTTTATTCTGAAGCCTGGTCCTCTTCCCAGGTAAGGAAATGGGAGAAAAGGCATTTTGTGGTTCCCTTCAGATAGAGAATTATTAAAGTTTGAAAAAAAGGAATTTTATAATAAAGCCAAACACCACTCCTTTGCCACGGAGTCAATTCCAGCTCCTGTTTGGCCCTGGAAGACAGAGGAGCACTGTCGCCTCGGGCCGCGGAGGCTGCGAATCTTAACAGGGCAAAAATCCACACCTTTCTTCGGAGTCGTGGCTGATGAGTTCAAACCAATACCATTGTGGTTTACAGCTGACTACGTTAACCACTTATTAACTACGTTAACTAGCTCCTTGTCTTTTAATAAGTATGAGCTATATGATAATTTGACTTAAATGAATATTACTGTAGCAGGGAACTCTGGTAGGTTAGTGGATAAGGAGTCACGCTGCCAACCCAAAGGCATGTGGTTTGAACCCAGCTGCTGCTGCTATGGAAAAAGACTGGCAATCTCCTCCCATGCAATTTACAGCCTCTGAAAATCAGCTAGAGAGGGTCAGCTATGAATTGGTTCCAACTCAACAGGAGAGAGAGAGAAAGAGAGAGAGAGGGAGAGAGAGAGAGAGAGAGCGCGCTAGCCTTCGAGGTCGTGCATGATCCGGCACCCTTGTTACTTTTCTGACCTAGCCTCCTACTAGTCTCTCCTCCACTCATGAAATAAGCTTTTTTGCAGTTCTTGAAACACATGAGGCATGGTCCTACCCCAGGACCTTTGCACTGGCTGTTCCCATTGCCTAGAACACTGCCCACAATATCTTCATGTTCTGTTCTCCACTTGATCTGAACCAAAAGGCCGAGAAGCAATCCTGGTCTATTCTCACGTCTCATCGAAAGTCATTTGAGGCATTCTGAGGGCTGCACACGGTTAACCTGATAACTTTCATGCTGCCGCCCTTCTCACTTCCTTTAAGTCTTTGCATAAATGTCACTTGTTTGTAAGACTATTACCAACTAACCAAGTTCAACCTAACATCATCTTGGCTCTCCTGAGCTTACTTTCTTTTTTATCCCACCAATGGACTTGATGGCACTGGGCAGTCTTTACTACCGTCTAACTGACCACTTTTGTTGAGTTACTTGCTGTTTGCATCATATTTTCATCCTTTCTAAAACGTAAGCTCCATAAGGGCAAGGCTTTGGGGCTGTTTCATTACTCTCCATATTCAATGTCAAGAACATTGTCTGTACATAGTCATTACAGGACACCTACTTTTAAATAAATAATTTCATATATATCCAAAATGGAAAAGAAAGAATACTAAATCATTAAAGTTTTAAGTTATTATAGTTCATTATATATATACATTTACTATATATCATATATATTATTTAGGATGTTAAAAATACTATATACTTATATTATTTAGGATGTTAAAGCTTCATGTAAAAATAAAATCCCATTTATCTATACATGCTTTATGCATAGCTGACATTCAGAAAACTTGGCACCTTATAAATCACAGGATTTCTTAGTGATAACGGTCACTCAAGCACTAAGTTTAATATTGCTTCCTCCAACCTAATTACCAAATATGGATCTTCAAGTAACCGTTTAGAACTCCCTGAATGTTATTTACTGAATCATAAACAACCTAATTTATGCTATACTAAAGTTAAAAATTGGAATTACTCAAGTGCAAATATTGATCAAGTCATTAACATCATTAGAGAATTAAGCCACAACAGTTTTTTAAGTGGCTACATAGTGAACTAGGAGAAATGGCATATTATAATGTACTTTCAGGGTGCCATGGTGTTCTGTCTGTAAAAGATGTCTGGGCTGGTGTTCCCGTGTAAGCAAGAGAAGGGATTTCCTTCTCTTTTTAGAACATCAGGAAAAACCAGTATCACACAATTTGTATTAACACATGAGAAAAGTCCATCCGTTCCTTCTGATATTCCATATACAATTAAAACATCCTTTAAACTGTTTTGGAAAAGGGAGTTGGAATACCTTCTTCACAGTTATGATGCCAACTTGGAAATTGGGATCTGTGTTAATGTCAAAGGTGTCGGCGCCATCTCCATCCACAATAGTGTATTTCATCTGTGCATTGATTCCTTCATCCAAGTCCTTGGCAAACACTCTCCCCACAGTGGAACTGACTGGGGCGGATTCCAACACACTCATCTGATAATGTTCTGTGAGAAAACAGAAGAACATACATTCTTAGTTATCTGTGCACATAACACGTATCTCATCATGATCCACAGCCTATCAGGTATGCTTCGCAAGACCACTGTTTCCTCGCTAAAACATAAAAACACCAAGTTCAATTTTACAAACAAAAACTTAAGACTCAGAGAAGCTAAGCAAACAGTATCTGGTCATAACATTGGACTGGATGTGCCTTAAGAACCAGAATAGCTTGAATGAAACTGTAAGACCTGCACAAGATAGTTGGAGAGGGGAGCTCTGGTGGCCTACTGGCAAGAAGCTGCACTGTAATCCCAGAGGT